GAGGCCCAGATACCTCAATATTAAGGCTAAGAACTGAGCAGGAAAAGCCAGAGATTCTAGATAGGGAGCAAAAAATATTTCCTGTTTGAAACCTCCTTGTCATTGCTTACCCTTTATGCCTGTCTTGTCATTGTTTACCCTTTATGCCTGTTCCACAAAGTATAAAATGGTGCACTTCACTTTAAAAAAAGACAAAATAAGCTCCAAGAGTTTCAGTATACTGTTCACAGACATAATGAAATTACAATTTCTATTGAATCCCAATTCACTTCACACTTCTCTCCAGGTTTACCACCTAATTTACTCATTAGAGGTTTTACCCATTTGTCATTAACCAAGAAAGATCGAGATGCATGTCTGAGTGTTCAACTATCTTTGATTTTTTAAAAGATTTTATTTATTTATTCATGAGACACACACACACACACACACAGAGAGAGAGAGAGAGAGAGAGAGGCAGAGACACAGGCAGAGGGAGAAGCAGGCTCCATGCAGGGAGCCCAACGTGGGACTTGATCCCTGTACTCCAGGATCAGGCCCTGGGCCAAAGGCGGCCCTAAACTGCTGAGCCACCCGGGCTGCCCAACTATCTTTGATTTCTGTATCTTCAGCTATTTCTTCATTTAGCTTGAGTAGGTAGGTCATATTTTTCACCAAAAGACTTGATTGTTCCTTAGTGTTTGATGCCACAACCTGATTTTAGCAAATAATGCCACTTCTTTTTTTTTAAAGGATTTTATTTATTTATTTGAGAGAGAGAGAGAGAGAGAGAGAGAGAGAGAATGCATGAACAGGGGGGAGCGGCAGAAACAGAGGGAGAAGCAGAGTCCCCAATAAGCAGGGAGCCCAATGTGGGACTTGATCCCAGGACCCTGGGATCATGACCTGAGCCAAAGGCCAATGCTTAACTGACTGAGCCACCCAGGTACCCCACAAATAATGCCACTCCTAAATGGAGAGAAAATAGAAGAAAATGAGAACAAGTTTGGAATATGTTTGTCTTTCTTTTTCTCAGATTGATCTTTTTCTGGTGAACAGAACAATGGCTATTCAAGTCAGCTCGCACATAGGGCTAGAGATTTGGGTTTTGTAATGGGGGAAGTAGGGATGAGAAAAAATGAGGAATAAAAGAGGAGTGAGTGAAGATGAGAAGTAGGTGAGTATGGGTGCAGGTGTGGAAAGTTAGAAGGGTTAGAATGATAGGAGCAAGTGCTGAAATAAATGTCCAAGAATAGAGGCAGAAGTAGGGAGCAAGGAGGGGGAAGTTTTGAGAGAGGAGCTCTAAAGTTTTAGTCCCAGAGCCAAGTGCTACACATTTGAGTGACTGTAGCTTGGAATGTGTGTGTGTCTGTATGTCTGTGTGTCTGTGTGTGTATGTGTATGAGAGAGAGAGAGAGAGAGAGAGAGAGAGAGAGAGAGAGAGAGAGTTTAATGGTTGGCATCCCAGAATTCAGAAGTGTTCAATGGCACACTCATGAATAAATCTCTATTCAGATGTTTTCTCAAGAAGCAAAACAAGAGAAAATGAGTAGATGAGTCTTCAGGGTATTTTAAAAATATTTATTTTAGAGAGAGAGTGTGTGAGTTAGTGGGAGTGGCAGGGGGAGAGAGAGAGAATCTCAAGCAGACTCCTTGATGAGTGCAGAGCTTGATGCAGGGCTCAAACCCATGACCCTGAGATCATAACCCTAGCCAAAACCAAGAGTCAGATGCCCAAATGACTGAGCCACCTAGGTGCCCTGAGTCTACAGTTTTTGATTAGACATTTCTACTTGGGATTTTTCTCAGAAACTTCCAAACTTGATCAAACAATTAGTGGTGGAAAATATTTCATTTGTAAATGTAGCCAAAACTTTCCAGAGAGGAAGCTGTTTAGTGTTTGTTCAGACTAGTAACCACCTCTAAACCCCTCAGCCAAGGAATTTTGAGGCGGAGAGTAGGCAAGAACATGTTATATGGACCTGTTAGGTATTTTTCTTTAATGCAGTAAGGTTAAACTCAACTTTGTCTTAGGCATTCTCCTCCCCACTATTCCTACCCAGGATGCCTATACCTTCAACTCTACAATTCCAACTCAGGTATCTATACAAATTTGCCTGTAAGAGCTCTAGGCCAGAACCATGCTGCTCCAGGGGCATCTCTCCGGAGCCCAACCATATTTCATTTTGCTTCTCTCCTTTACCTTCATTTATATACAAAGAAGAACAGTAATATTGTCATCTTCCCTGAGCAAATCGGTTGTTCCCTCTCCTGGGTTGATGGCTTTGTCTGTATCTACTCTATCACGAACTATGACCTCATGGACCCCCTGTTCCAGAATAGTCACTTGATCAACCTGAGCCCCAACATCCCTATGGTGCTGGTAGCCAACAGGAGTGACATGTTGTGGAACCATGAGGTATCACCAGAAGGGATTTCGTAGCTTCCCAGTGACCTGGATAGTATTTACTCCAAGATCTCTGGCAGGGAGTATGTTTGATAATTTCTAGAAGCTATGTCAGGAGGTGCACCACAAGTATATTTGGAGTGGTTGACAGGGTCAACAACAATGCTTGGGTCAGTGGGAGGTGGGTGGAGAGCAGCAAGGGAGACATGGGGGAAAACACAGGAGGAGGCTCCTTTCTCACCCCAAATCTACCGATATACACACAGGGTCTGACCTCTAAGAGCAAGCCATTTGTTATCTATACCTGAAGAGTCAGAAATGGTGAACTGAGAAATGGAGCATTTTTCTTTCTCTTCCTCTGCTACTAAAACTTCTCGATTCTAAGTTTGTGGTTTCTGCTCTTATTGGTTATTTCTTATGGAAGCAGAAACCCTCTGGGAAGATCCATCCCTTCATACATTCTGATGCCTTTCCATCAGATTACACCTTCCCTTAGCTTGGAAAAGGTAGAATTAGGTCCCTTGAAATTTTCACTGTTTCTCAGTACTTTAAGGAATACCCCACTTGCAGTTGCTCTTTAAGGCTTCTTTTCTCTTTTCCAAATTATTCATCTATTTCTAAAATCAAAGGTATGACCTTACTTCTGAGATTTCATTTGAGTCCACCTCTTCCTTTCCTCAAATGATCCCAAGGGTCTCCTTCCCATAACTGGTAAACAACACAGCATCATAGTCTAATGGTTCTGAAGTCTTATTTTCCCCATCCCCCCCCAAACCCCTGTTGTGTTTTCTTGCTTCTGTTTCTTTTTTAAATTTTTCAAAATTTTTTGTATATTATTTTATTGGAGTTCGATTTGTCAACATATAGTATAACACCCAGTGCTTATCCCATCAAGTGCCCCCCTCACTGCCCGTCACCCAGTCACCCCATCCCCTCTTCCACTACCCCTTGTTCGTTTCCCAGAGTTAGGAGTCTCTCATGGTCTGTCACCCTCACTGATATTTCCCACTCATTTTCTCTCCTTTATCAAAAGTCTCCTTTATGCAAAGTCTGTGCAAGTGGCAAGCAAAAGAAAGATGAAATAAGTGTTGACAGCCTAGACTTCAACAAGAAAATCCTTCATACAGCCTGGCACCCCAAGGAAAATATCATTGCTGTAGCTACTACAAACAATCTGTATATATTTCAAGACAAAGTGAATTAGGGTTGGCATTCCCAACAGAAGAGCCCACTTCCTGCTTAGTTGAGATAGTTGAATCTAGCATTTATACCTAAAAAAGAGAGAGGTCAATTGTGGCGCCCTTTTCCAGTGTTTGACAATGTGCCATTTGACAACACATTTTTTATAGCTACATGGAGAGATCTCTGTGGATTCATCACTGTGGTGTTCTCCATGTCTGCTAGCCATGTAGGTAAGGGTAGGGCACTTTTAATTTAAATGACTTCTTGCACCATCTTGCCTAATGGACTAGATTGGACTGTATCAACATTGATTTACTCCACTTTTCATGCCTTCCATTGTGATGACGTCAAACACAGTGAAAGCCTTCAGTCATGCTTATGGGATTTAATTGTGTATCCTCATTACTGTATCATTTGTGGGGTATACCTCTCCCCCTTTTTAAAATTAAATACAGCTCATTCTTACTGTGAAAAAAAATTCACTATTTTTTATATTCCCCAAATGAATGAGACCATATAATATTTGTCCTTCTCCGATTGACTTACTTCACTCGGCATAATACCCTCCAGTTCCATCCACGTAGAAGCAAATGGTGGGTATTTGTCATTTCCAATGGCTGGGTAATATTCCATTGTATATATATCCCACATCTTCTTTATCCATTCATCTTTTGATGGACACCAAGGCTCCCTCCACAGTTTGGCTGTTGTGGACATTGCTGCTATAAACATTGGGGCACAGGTGTCCTGGCGTTTCACTGCATCTGTATCTTTGGGGTAAATCCCCAGCAATGTTCTTAGCTGTTTTTCTCCTGCCTACCATTCCTCCGAGTTTAGGTTCCCTGGGATATGCATAATAAAGTGAAGAGGACATCCAGGTGCAAAGTAGAATATTGATATCATTCTTTAGTGCGGTAACAGCTAAATTTCTGTAAATGTGTGTTTATGTATGCATTTATGAAGGGTAATATTTGGCTCTTAAATTTTGATATTTTCCTAAATAAGTGAATGCGAGAAGAGGAACCATTAAATGACAAATATATCTTGTTTTTCAATAAAATACATTATAGCTTCACCACTATTTTAGTGAGGCTGTCAGTCTGACAGAAATGTTATTTTTATGGAAACTCATACAGATTTCATTCCTGATAAGAAATAAGAAGGGAAAGATGTTGAATAGGGTCTACTTGTTTATTTTTTCAGATTTAAATAGATTTTATTGTTACGCGGAGGACCTACCAAGCAGGGCCTTGTAAACCAATATATGTAGTTCCAGGATGTCACCATGGAGAAATCAAGAGGTTATGATTGCAGAAGAGGTCATTGTAATTAAAGGACATGATCTAGGGAAGGCCAGCCAAGAATGCAGCAAACATGATCAAGATAGGCCAAGGGTGCTCAGGTCACAGGGCAAGGGACAGGACAGCCCCCTTCACTCCCACTTCTTGTAGCTCTCCAGATGTGACAGGACCCAGCCCAATGGCAAGAGAAAACATAGGAAGCAGGAGGTGAACCCAGTGGTCCTGAGCTGCTGCCATGGCCTGTGGAATGGATCTAGGCACGGTACCAGGAGCCTCCAGGCTAGGCCTGTCAGGCCCCTCAGCAACAATGCTGTCAGTACAGACATGAGCACACAGAATGAGTTCAGACAGTGGCCACAGGAACTCAAGTTTGGGAACCATTTCTTTATTAAAGAGTTCTTACTCTGTGCCAGCTACTGGGACTAGAGCCAAGGATACATTCAAATATGAATAAGCCATGTCCCCTGCTTTCAAAGATACAGCACTATAAGCATCCTAGAAATACTTTTATTTTTTAAATTTTAAAAAATTCTATTTGTTTATTTGAGAATGGGGGAGGAGCAGAGGGAGAGAGAATCCTGAAGCAGACTCGCCACTGATAATCAAATCTTAAAAAAAATAAAATAAAATGCTAGAAGAGTTGATTGAAGGAAACAATTTCTCATGATGTGATCATTAGATAATGCTACAAGGAGAAGTAAGACTTGGATTGGACTTTATATTAAAATGTGTACTTTTCATGTAAAAGCATAGAAATAGGAAGATGCAAAGTTTGGCTGAAGTAGAAAGCACATATATGTGAAAAGTGAGTGTGATAAGTAAAAAAGGCAGAAAGAGCATAAGCTGGAAACTCAGAACCCCAAGGCCTGTCTTTTTTTTTAAGATTTTATTTATTTGTTCATGAGAGACTCAGAAAGAGAGGCAGAGACAGAGGGAGAAGCAGGCTCCTTGCAGGGAGCCAAATGCAGAACTCGATCTCTGGGCCAGGGATCACGCCCTGAGCTGAAGGCAAACACTCAATTGCTGAGCCTCCCAGGCGTCCCCCAAGGCCTGTCTTATTCATGGGATTGGTCCTTGATTGGAGAGGCTCTAAAGCTCCCAGAGTCATCACCATAAATCTTTGTCCAGCTCAGATAGGTGACAGAAACTGTAGTCTTTGGCATGAGCTGAGTGAGTAGAATATATAAGGGTGAGAAGAGGGTAAGGAAGAAGAGTATTTGCATAGAAGAGGGAACCTGATCTAGGGCTAGTTAATAAATACATTGGAGCCTAGGGTCCTGAAAACTAGAATGAGGGCAGAGGGCTAGAGGCAAAAGAAACATGAATTTTCTCACTACCACACAGAAATGCAGGCAGGAAAGCAGAAAGTGTAAGGGGAAATAGGAAAACCACTGTTCCATCTTTGCTAGAATGTGCTACATGACCCTGGGAAGGCCATTGCTCCTGTGTTGGCTTCAGTTTCCCCATCTGTGAAAGGAAAAAGTTTATTCAGTAATCATTAAAATACCTTCCAGTTTTCACCTTGTATGTTGGGTAGTTGGAGACGAGAGTTGTGATGAAGGCTGAGCCTGTCTACAATGGGAGTATAGAAGTGGAACAGAGCAGCCTAGAAAGCCCTGGTGCCTGCCTGAAATACATGTAGTAGAGGACAAAGCCTTCCATTCTATTATCATATAAAGCTAATGTATGAAGAATCTTTCCTGAAACTGAAGAGAGAGGTTAAGTCCAGAACACTGCTGCCTGTGTGGCTCAATGGACAGGGAACACCACAGAGAGGCCCAGAAATGAAAGTGTCTGTGCACTTGTCAAACATCAAGTTAACAGTCTAGCTTTGGTCCTTTCTGTGATCCAATCAATCCCTCCACTGGTTATAGCAAGTCAGTGAAGAGTTATCTGACTTCAATATGATTCCCAGAACCAGGTCGACGTGGTATACCATCCTGTATCACAGGGTCAGTCCTGCATCTGGGAAGAATAGGCAACCACATATACAACACCTATATTTAGAATTCCACCTCAATCAGATTTTGCCAAAATGCAAACATTTGGGGGATGCCTGCCTGGCTCAGTTAGTAGAGTATGTGACTCTTGATCTCAGAGGCATGAGTTTGAGCCCCATGTTGAGTGTAGAGCTTAATTTACATAAAAAAGTTACAAAATGCAAAATGTTATCTGAGAGTGGTAGATGAACTTATTAACTCACAATTAGTCATCAAAATCTTAGCTCTTTTCAAATTATCTGAGTTAGCTGGAGAAAGGGCGGATACAATTTAATAGAGGAGCTGGGACTGAAGAAATAACTGAAAGGTTCTGGAACATGGGACATTGGATGGGTTGAACAGTATGCTAGAGCACAAAATGGCATGAGGGAAGGGAAGATTTCCCCCCTAAAAAAGGGAAGGAAGAATTTCTCTCTCTCTCTTTTTAAAGATTTAACTTATTTATTCATGACAGACACACAGAAGAGGCAGAGACATTGGCAGAGGAAGAAGCAGATTACCTGTGGGAGCTTTATGCGGGACTCGATCCCAGGACCCTGTGATCAGGACCTTAGCCAAAGGCAGACGCTGAACCACTGAGTCACCCAGGTACCCCAGGAAGGAAGAATTTATTTCTTTTTTGTATAACATTATAGCTAATTTTGTAGACTGTCTTCCCAGCTGATCTGTAACTTGAGGTTCTAGTATGTTCATGGCTATTTCCACCAAGTGTCTGATCTGTTATCTCAGATTGCTGCTACTGAATTAGGAGATAAGCTCCTAAGATCCAGTCATGAATGCCTTCCGTGGACAAAGGATCTTGTACTTTTGTAGGCAGGCTTAGAAATGGCTACTTCCCTTCCTGCTTATTACCTTCTCCTCTCTGTCAGATTTTAACTTCCCGAGCTCTCCTCATTAATCTATGATCTGAATAAGGATATTAAGTGTAGGACTAGGCAGCAGAGGATGACCACAAGAAAAGTTAGCAACTCCCTACTTGGTCTGTTTCCAATCAGTCCATATTTAAAAAATATATATCTATTCACTTACTTTTTAAAATTCCAGTATAATTAATACATAGTGTTATATCAGTTTCAAGTGTACAATATAGTGATTCAACAATTCCATACATTATTCAGTGTTAATCATAAGTATACCTTCAATCCCCTTCACCTATTTCATCCATCCTCTCACCCACTTCTCTGGCAACCACTAGTTTGTTCATTATATTTAAGAGTCTGTTTTTTTGTTTGTCTTTTTTTCTTTGTCTATTTTATTTCTTCAATTCCACATGTGAACGAAATCATACGGCACTTGTCTTTCTTTGACCAACTTATTTCACTTAGCATTATACCCTCTAGATCCATCCATGTTGATGCAAATTACAAGATTTCATTCTTTTTCGTGGCTAAGTAATATTCCCCTCTGTGTGTGTGTGTGTGTGTGTGTGTGTGTGTTTGACATATTTCTTTTCCCATCCATCTATCAATGGACTTGAGTTGCTTCCATAAATTGGCTATTGTAAATAATACTGCAATAAATATAGGGGTGCATATATCTTTTCAAATTAGAGTTTTTGTTTTCTTTGGGTAAATATCCAGTAATGGAATTACTGGATCATATGGTTAATTCCATTTTTAGTTTTTTGAGAATCCTCCATACTGTTTTCCATAATGGCTGCACCAATTTGCATTCCTACAACAGTACATGAGGGTTCCTTTTTCTCCACATCCTTCCAACACTTGTTGTTTCTTTTATTTTTGATTTTAGTTGTTCTGACAGGTGTGAGGTCATATTGCATTGTGGTTTTGATTTGCATGTCACTGATGATGAGTGATGTTGAGCATCTTTTCATGTGTCTGTTGGCCATCTGTATGTCTTCTTTGCAGAGATGTCTGTTCATGTCTTCTTTCTATTTTTAATTGGATTATTTGGGGTCTTTTTGATTTTGAGTTGCCATAAGTTCTTTGTATATTTTGAATATTGACCCATTATTGGATATAATCCGTCCATCTTAACTGTCAGAAATTCACCCTAAGTGCTTAAATCTGTTGATAAAAAATACTTTTCTATACTTTTCCAACACCTTCAGAATAAAGTCCATCACCAATTTCTAATAAAGTTTTTCAGAAAATGAGGAATAGAGAGGAAATTTCTCAACTTGATAAAAAGCATTTAAAAAATACCAATAGATAACATTTTACTTAATGGTGAAAGATTGAATATTTCCCCCTAAGAATGGGAGAAAGGAAACGATGTTTGCTCTTATCACTCTGATATATTACTGGAAGTTCAAGACACTGCAGTAAGGATAGAAAAATAAATAAAAGGCATTCTAATTTGAAAGAAAGAAATAAAACTGTCTCTTTTTCCAGAAGACATGATTGTCTATGTGAGAATTCAGAGGGATCTACAAAAAGTCTCATAGAATGAATGAGTTCTGCAATGCATCAGGCTACACAATCAACATACAAATATCAACTGAATTTCTGACAGTTGATATTCTGGCAGTAATTACGTAGAAACTAAATTTAAAATGCTATAGCATTTATAAGCACCACAAAGAAAATAAATGATACTTAGGTATAAACTTAATTAAACACATATAGGATTTGTATGCTGAATATTAAGTATTGATGAAACAAAGCAAAGAAGACATAAATAATTGGAGACTAACCATGTACATGAATTGGAAAATTCAACACAGTAACTATGTCAAGCTTCCCTAACTGATCTATGAGTTTAATAACATTGCTATCAACATCACAGCTCATTTTATAGACACAGAAAGACTTCTAAAATTTATATGGGAAGAGTGAAGCAAATCACACGTTTCACAGAGGACTAGAATATCTGAAACAATCTGAGAAAAAATAGATTACAAATAATTATTCTATCTGATACAGGCCTACTACCTATCTAGTGTAATCAGAACAACATGGTATTGGAAGAGATATAGCCACATAGATAAGTGGAAGAGAATAGAGAACCCAGAAATAGACACACACAAATATGTACAATTGGTTTTTGTTGAATTTGGAAAAGCAATTCAATGGGGTGAGGATAATCTTTTTCAAAACTTTTTAAATTTTTAAATTTTTATTTTTAAAATATTTTATTCATTTATTTGAGAGAGTGTGAGAACACAAGCAGAGGGAGGGGCAGAGGGAGAGGGAGAAGCAGATTCATCTGCTGAGCTAGGAGCCTGACTTGGGGCTCGATCCCAGGACCTGGAGGTCATGACCTGAGCCAAAGCCAGACACTCAACCATCTGAGCCACCTTGGTGTCCCTAAAAAAATTTTTTAAAGGTTTACTTATGAGAGAGAGAGACAGAGAGAGAGAGAGA